ATTGTATCCAGAAATCAGATTCAATTCGAGTAAGTGCATAAGTTACAACAAATACCTCTTTGCGACTAAGTGCATCGGCAACCTGATTTTGTTTTCCAGTTTTGTGCACCCAAACAAAGTCATATTCAACCAAGAACTCTTGCCGCCGGGCCTACTTCGGACTCAATTTCTGTTAAGTCTTGAAGTATATATTAGCCACATTGTCCATCCGCACCACGAACTTTGTTCGCAACAAGTAGACTCTCCAAACTTGAAGGCAATGAATTACTGCAACCATCTCTTTTTCATGTGCAGAATAGCGTTGCTCCGCAACGTTCAACTTTCTGCTTTCAAATGCAACCAGATGATCCTCCTGGACCAGCACACCGCCAACAACATAATCTAAAGCATCCGTGTGTACTTCAAACGACAAATCAAAATCTGGCAGCTTCAAGATTGGTTCAGATGTAATGGCCTTCTTCAATGCATTGAAAGCCTTGTCACACGAATCCGATCAAACCCATTTGACATTCTTTTTCAGCAAATCTGTCAAAGGAGCAACCCTTTTTGAATAGCCTGCAATGAATTTTCGGTAGTAATTTACCAATGATCTAAGTTCCTATATCCCTCTTGGTGCTTCCCAGTCAAATATTGCTTGCACCGTCTTAGGGTCCATCCGGACTTGGTTTTCACTAACCAAATGGCCTAGAAACTTTATCTCGCGACTTGCAAATTCACACTTTTCCATCTTGACATAGAGTTGATAGGCTCTAAGTCTTTCCAACACTTTCCTTAGGTGAGACAAATGATCTTCAAGGGTCCGTCTATAGATGAATATGTCGTCTAAGTAAACAACTACAAAGTCATCAAGATACTCGTAAAGAACATTGTTCATTAAATTATAGAAAGTTACCGGGGCATTGGTTAGCCCAAACGGCATTACAAGAAATTTAAAGCTACCATATCTAGTTACACAAGTGGTCTTAGGGGCATCCCCCTCGGCTATCCTAACCTGCCAATAGCCCTGACCTTAGGTCTAACTTAGTAAAATAACTAGCATTGGAAAGCCTGTCCAACAGATCTTGAATCAAAGGGACCGGATACTTGTTTTTGACAGTCACCTTGTTCAGCGCCCTATAGTCAACACACATCCGCAGCGTACCATCCTGTTGTTTCTGGAACAAAACAGGAGCACCATATGGAGCCTTCGACGGTTGAATCAATCCAGCATCAAGCAACTCAGACAATTGCTTCCTTAGTTCAATCAGTTCCATAGGCGACATGTAGTAAGGAGGTCGCGCAGGCGGCAATGATCTAGGAATAAGTTCAATCATTTGATCAATCTCCCTCCTCGGTGGTAACTCTTTTGGAAATTCTGGAGGCATCACATCTTTGAATTCCTTCAGCAAATCTGCAACACAATCCGGGACCTCAATCTGCACATCTGGCTTGACTTCAACGAGTGCAGCAAGGTAAGTCTCCTCACCCCTCTTCAAGTCTTTCTCAAATGCAATGGCAGAAATCAAAGCAGCAATCCCAGCGTTCTTTCTTTTATCCCCATAGGGCCGAATACCTTTCACAAAGTCGGGGTTTGTCTCCCCCATGACCATAAGTCCATCCAAATGAGGAATTGGAGCAACTTTGTTCTTCTTCAGAAAATCAATTCCCAACAGGACGTTGAAGTCATCCAATGGCGCAACAGTCATGTTGAACTTTCCAGACCAATGGCCCAATATCATCGGGACATCCAGCGCCACACCATAACCAGGTTGCGCCTTTGAGTTCACAGTCTTCATCTTCGCCGGACACTTTGTCACTTGCAGACCATACTCTTGAACAATTCTAGAGGCAACAAAGGTGTGCGTGGCTCCGGTATCAATCATTGTCACGACACTCTTGTTTCTGATTTTCAAATCTACATACATTAGAGTGGAATAAGCATCAGCCAAATCATCCCCCGTAGCGTTCACGTATGCAACTTCTTTCTCTGCTGCATTTTTTTCATCTTCCGCCACAGTCACACAAGCCAAAGTGTTCAGCAGCCGCAACGGATTTACATAGGCAGCAGCTTCCTGTCTCTTTCCGTGTTCTCCTCTTCAGCAAGAAGAGCATTAATCTTTCCCTAGTTTGGACAGTTTCGTGCATGATGTCCAGGTTTTTAGCATGTCCATCAAACCTTTTCACCACCCGTTGGCCAGTTTGTTTTTTGACGAAGAAGCATCCATCTTGCCCTTGCCTTTGTCATTTCCATCCTGCTTCCGGTTATCCTTCCTCTAGTCCTTACTCTTCTCCTTTTTCTTTGACTTAGAAGAAAAGGCGGGATCAGAAGTTAGACCCGTTGAGCGAAAATCCATCAATGCATCTGTTGTCGCAATTGCACTAGGCAGATCTTTAACTTTCTGCCTACGAATTTCGTTTTGTGTCCAGCCTTGCATTCCGAAAATGAAATTGTGTAGTTTATCCTCATCGACATGTTTTGGATGTCTAGCAAGAAAGATGAAAAATCTTTCACATAGTCCCGAATGGCAACAGTCTGTCTCAACCGCTTCAAGCGATCCCTAGCAACCCAAGACGAGTTGCTAGGAAAGAACTTTTCCCTCAGTGCGTCACGAAGTTTCTCCCAAGTTCATTTGAAAATCTTAGCTAGCGTTTGGCTATAGATTCTCAAATTTATTTTAAAAAAATTGATTTTGGTGAAGTTTGGTTTGAAGATGAAAATCTGTTTGGACATAATTTTTCAAAATATATTTCACTTTTTTTTTAAAAAAAAAAACATGAAATGTGACTTATACCCATAATTTTTAAACACTATCAAAAATACCCAACAACACCAAACAAAGAAACTTGCTAATCCTCTGTATGCAGAACCTTCATCGATGCCATTTATTATTATTATTATTATTATCACAAATCATAGTCTTGAACATAGATAAATTTGGCATAAAATTATTAATCAATATCACTAAGGGTGGGTCGTAAACCTTATTAGATACCATTGACTCTGGTATCTAATAAGTTTTACCTACTATTGGATTTGAACCAATGACTCCCGCCGTATGAAAGCAGTACTCTAACCACTGAGTTAAGTAGGTCATTTATCATCCCAAAGAGAACCAAATGAAACCCATCTTGTCGATGGATCATAAATATCATATTACTTAATAAGCAATACTAATCTAAGGAATACCGCTCAAAGAGACCAAAGATTGTTGATGTTGGATCATGGAATATTTATCTTGACAAGAATTTATCTACATGATAAAATATGTATCACTTATAATGAACTACATAATACACTATCCTAAAACCATAACATGAGATTTTAATATCAACTGCTAATAACATAATTACTAGCCACTATAATTCGTCAAATTGCAATAATATTACAAGATCCATCAGTCCAAAAGAAAATGACAGTAGTAATTAGCTGGTGGTTAGCTGGATCATAATAGATGGTGAGCTTTTTTATAAAATATAAAAGTTTGGGATAATTTTTGAAATTGTTAAAAAATCAAATAGTGATATTTTCGGCCAAAAACAAGTCTAGAGTTAGTTTTGGGATTTGAAAATTTTGTTTTCAAAATCTGTCAAAATATGGACAAAATCTATAAACAAACATGTTTTGCCAAAAAAATTGGAAAAAAACTAGGCAAAATGGGGGCTAGTAAAATATGGCTTTATACGTTTCTAAAATTATCTTTAAAAAAAAATTCTACTAACAAATTAAAACTAAATAAGTTATACTCACAACTAAGAGAAAGTATTTATCAGGGTTATAGAATGTCAATCATAAAGCTTTAACCTTTTACGTACTTTTTCTTCAAATAAAATATATGGTTTGCCTATTTTTATCTAATGCTATAAAAGACGGAATCTCTTTTTGATTTTTTAAAATTTAATAATGATCTAAGTCGTCTAGTATCTTCATCATATAAATTTTCATTTTCCCACCCAATATTGGCTTATCTTTAGAATATTAAAAATGAATAGTATTAGTTGGTTAAGGAAATGAAGTCACTCTCACCACCAACTTAGCTGTACTTGAAAATGATTTTCTCATTTACAACAACAGGATTGGATACAGCTGTATCCAAATTTCTAGTCATTTTCCAGCCCTTCTTCTCCACTTCCTACTAGGCAAATAAGGAAATTATTAGTACTAGAAAACAATGCACAAATAGGTCCCACCAATCTCAATTGTCTCTTTTCGAAAACAAAGGATTTTGACTTATATCTACCATAATTACTACGTATAAATATTATAGATGTATTTGTTTCACTTATATCAATAGTTACACATAATTAAATTTGAAATAATATCATAAAAGTTTTTACACTATCAATGTATATCAATTAAATTATAATATTTGTAATCTCTCTATTACGAGTATTCAAGTCCATACGTCACGACTCATGAGAGTTACTTTTATATAAATAATACTCCATAAATAACATAATGACTAACCAATGATAAGTCGAGTTACAATATAAGTTTGAATTTAAATAGCAAATGTATCATATCTATTTAATTAAAATTTTCCTACTCAAATTTTAACTAGGTGAAACAAAAAGAAATTGATCTTTTAGCACTATTTTATACTAGTACTTTATAGTACTATTTGTTACATGTGCTAAAACATTTTTTTTTTTACCTTTTGCTTAGACAAGAATTGCATTGCCCCACAATATGTATTGCAATTAAAAACCTATTACGACCCGCAATAAATATATATATATATATATGTATAATTTTTGTAGTAGTTTGTTATAGTAGTAGCATTAAATTAAAATATTCCTTTACTCTCCGCCTATTTCGTTCTAAATAATGAAACCCCATGCCTCCTTTATTTTCTCTCTCTCTCTCTTTCTTGTTAGATACTATAATAATACACACATATTAGTCAAATGGTTTTGTGGTCTATTAAAAATTTATTTTTAGTTTTATGACTTTTTTTTTTACATATGAAAAATTTTACTTTTATACATTATAAATCTAGAAACGGCATTTTGTTAATTTCAGTATTGTAAAAAGTCACGGAGGCCTAAAACACCTGTTTCCACATGTGCGTGTACACAAAGTAGGATAATATATGTACATATATATTAAAAGTTGGCTCTTCTCGTGATCTGTGCATAGTCTACATGATACTAATTCTTGGGTTTTGGTGGGTTTACTTCAATCATTGCTATATATCCACCTATCTTTGAATCATTCACTTTATAATTGGGATCTACTAAATTAAGAAGAGAGAGAGAGAGACCCATTTTGGAGTTTTGGGTATTGATTTTGAAAGTGAAATTTTTTTGAATGACAAAGTTATGAGTATTTTGCCAGGCTTTTGGAAGGATTTGAGTGGTAGCAGCTCAAAAAATAGCTTTGGTTTTGCTATAAAAGAAGATAAAGCTTCATAGTAGTAATATAAAGGTGGGTTCTTTTGGTTTGTTTTCTTCTCTTATTACAGTATTAATCTATAATCCGGTGTTTAGTTTTCATGTATTATGTGGTTTTGACTTTGGTTATGTCTTAATTCTGAGTAAATGTTAAAGTTGGTTGACCTTTGTTCACTGTACAATTCTTGTTTGAACATGTTAAGCTCAATTAATTTAAAAATTAAATTGTACCTTTAAAGGGTTTTTGTAATACTAATTATTAGTTAGCTGGTTTTTCAGCAAAATGCTAGCTCAAGTAAATTTGCTATTGTTATTGGCAAACTTTTTATTGCTATATAGAATTGACTATGGTTTTTCTGAATACTGTGAACATGAAGTTTCTAAATTGTAACCTAGATATGATTGCTTGTGTAAACTGTAAAAGTTGAAAAGGAGTTTTAAGGCATAAAGGTGGACTACAGTACATGCTCTGAACCAGCTTTAATTTCTAATGAAGAAAAGGCTTTTTTATGAGCCTTTTTGAGCTATTTTACCTGGAAATGAAGTGAATAATACAATTCGCACGGATTACAATAGTCTGGCACTTTTACATATTATAGTGAAAAAGCTTCAAGAAGTGGTGCCGCTAAGACTATAATACAAGGTAACGTGGGAGATTGATGAAGATGTCACACATCGTATCGGAGCAGGATGGATGAAGTGGAGGTTCGCTTCTGGTGTCTTGTGTGATATGAATGTGCCGTTGAGACTTAAAGGTAAGTTCTACAAGGTTGTAGTTAGACCGACTATGTTTGTATGGAGAGCGTTGGCCGGTCAAGAACTCTCATACGCAGAAGCTAAAATTAGCTGAGATGAGGATGTTGAGGTAGATGTGTGGGCATACCCGGTTGGATAAGATTAGGAATGAAGTTATTTGGGAAAAGGTTGGAGTGGCCCATGTGGAGGATAAGATGCGGGAGGCGAGGTTGAGATGGTTCGGGCATATTAAGAGGAGAAGTATAGAAGCCCCAGTTAGAAGGTGCAAGAGGCTAGCTTCGTGGGTAGCAGGAGGGGTAGAGGTAGGCCTAAGAAGTCTTCAGGAGAGGTTGTTAGGCGGGACATGGCGCAACTAGAGCTGACTGAGAGGACATGGACCTAGACATGAGGGTGTGGAGGTCAAAGATTAGGGTAGAAGGTTAGTAGGTAGTCGAGCGTTTCTGTTTGTCTTACTTGGTTTGCTAGCATTAATGTTAGTATGATATTTTTTTATTCATAGAGTGCTATTACTACCTAGAGTTTAATTGCATTCTTGGATTCGATCTTATTTTATCTTGTTGTTATTCCTGCGTGTTGCAATTACCTTTTCTTTTTCAGCCGTTCTCTAGCCGAGGATCTATCGAAAACAACGTCTCTGCCCTTCTAGGGGTAGAGGTAAGGCTGCGTACATCTTTCCCTCCCCAGACCCCACTTGTGGTAGACTACTGGGTTTGTTGTTGTTGTTGCTTCAACAAGTGGTGCAATTTTGAGAGGGATGTAACATCTTTTACAAATACTTATCATGTTGCCGTATCTATTCGCATCGGCATTTCATGGAGATGTTGATGTCCTATATCTCTTGTTCTGAAAGGATCAGTCTGTTTCTTCTAGCATTGCACAAGTATGATAATTAGTATCTGCTGAAAAACTGTGGACTTGATCCCTTAGGAAATCTTGTGTAATACAATATCGCTTGTATAATAGATATATGTGCTTGATGATTACCAAACATTAAGTGTTGATACGGTACTTCCCAAACCACGGGGAATTGACATTGCCCATTTTGCATTCAACTTCTATTTACTATTTTGAAAAATTTATCTAATAATGCTGGATCTAACATAGCCGATCATGGCACTTGTCGAAATTTTCCTTTTAAAATTTGCAGCATATGCCAAGTAAATATGTGACCTCATCAGTCGACTGGTTGTAAAATGGTTCACAGTGTTATTCATAGAGATATCATAAAGAAATGCAACTGCTCGTTCTTTTCTATTCTTCCTTATAGTTATGAGGGGTGAGTTTCAGTTTGTTTTCTCAATTTGGATGTGTATGATTTCAACTTTGGATTAACTCAAGTTTGTGGAAAGCGTGGCTCTTCTCTTTTCTTTGTGAAAATTTCTTCATCCTATTTGTTTGTAATTTAAATGTTGCAGTGCCTGGTCATATCAAAGGGTTCTATGCATTATTTCAGCTTATTAGCCTTCTTAAAGAAGGTTAGACTGGAAGCTCTTTTATTTAAATGAGTGAATAATAGGGGAACCTATTTTCTGCAACAGAATGTGAAATTTGTGATTTTTCCTGTTTGGCTTTATTAACTACTTTAAATGTCCTCACCCTGACTCTATTTTGTGAACTGACAGGATTAATAAATAGACAGCGAGATCAAAGCATACTACATATGGCGGTGTTTTGACCAGAATGGATCCTCAGGCTTTCATTAGGCTGTCAATAGGGTCGCTGGGGTTGAGACTGTCTGGAACAACTACTTTGAACAGTACAAAATCAGGGATAAGTGCAGTCACTTCTCCCTGTGTGTGCGAGATCCGTCTTCGAGGTTTCCCTGTGCAGACATCATCTATTCCCTATATTTCCTCGCCTGAAGCTACACCGGATATTCACAACATTGCATCCAGCTTTTATCTTGAAGAATCTGATTTGAAAGCTTTACTGGCACCTGCCCCCTGTTTTTATGCGGCCCATGCATGTCTAGAGATAGTTGTTTACACAGGACGCAAAGGAGGCCACTGTGGTGTTGGTATTAAGAGGCAGCAAGTTGGGACATTTAAGTTGGAAGTAGGTCCCGAGTGGGGTGAAGGAAAACCAGCCATTCTGTTTAATGGCTGGATAGGAATTGGCAAGAACAAGCTGGAGACTGGAAAACCTGGAGCGGAGCTTCATTTGAGAGTGAAGCTGGACCCTGATCCAAGATATGTTTTCCAGTTTGAAGATAAAACGAAACTAAGTCCTCAAATAGTGCAGCTTCAGGGAACCATCAAGCAACCTATTTTCAGTTGCGAGTTTAGTCAGGACAGGTAAAAATCATTGTTTTGCTCTTTTACCCTTTCCTAGGGATGAGTAGCGTATAAGTAGAATTGAAGTTCTACTGTTATAGTCTACTTTTTCCGGGACTCTAACATTTAAGTTGCTTCAGTTCTAATTCTAATAGTTGTGTGTTATGCTGAACTTACAGGGTATCTCCGGTAGATCCATTAAATAATTTCTGGTCAAGTTCATTTGACGGTTCTGAACTAGAGGTAGAGAAAAGAGAGAGGAAGGGATGGAAGGTGAAGATACACGATCTCTCTGGGTCGGCTGTTGCAGCAGCCTTCATAACAACTCCGTTTGTGCCATCAACAGGTTGTGATTGGGTGGCCAAATCCAACCCAGGAGCTTGGTTGATTGTTCGTCCTGATATTTGCAGGCCCGAAAGTTGGCAGCCATGGGGAAAGCTTGAAGCATGGCGTGAACGTGGGATCAGAGATTCCATTTGCTGTCGCTTCCATCTTCTATCAGAGGGGCAGGAATGTGGTGGTGATCTTCTCATGTCTGAGATCTTGATCAGTGCAGAGAAGGGTGGTGAGTTCTACATTGACACGGACAGACAGGTACAAGCAGCAGCGAGTCCACTGCCCAGTCCAAGAAGCAGCGGAGACTTTGCAGCACTAAGTCCTGTTGCAGGCGGTTTTGTCATGAGCTGTCGAGTGCAAGGGGAAGGGAAATGCAGCAAACCCCTCGTGCAACTTGCCATGCGACACATCACCTGTGTGGAAGATGCAGCCATTTTCATGGCGCTTGCTGCTGCAGTTGATCTTAGCATTGAGGCATGCAGGCCTTTTCGCAGAAAGCTACGGAGAAGTACTCGCCATTCCTGGTGATGTATGTATACACATAATGGGAGATAGATATACTGATATCCAAGCCCATTCCTGTATTTCTCCTGATTATTGTAACAACTTGACTTTTGCTGTGTAGTAACCAACTTAATCTATATTTATGTTGGTTCAAGTGGCCCCACGACGATCCAATGGCTGAGACCCTTAGGACCGTCATGGTTGTGTCCTCACCATCTGAATCAACTCTGAACGAACATCATCACAATTGGGGGGTTCTTTACAAAAATTCACTTTGCTTACATTGTTGATACTGCAGATTGGGAAACTGACTTGCTCTTTTAGATGACTGGATTCACGTACTTCAACAAAGTATTAGGAAGGACGAGGTTCTAGATTCAAGTTTAACTGTTACACATTAACAAATACTAATAGACTCACGTACTTAATTACAAAAACTAAATCTAAAAGGATTTTGTCCAAGGCAAAAAGATGTGGGAATATTGAATATTCCAAAGAATAATAACTGTGGGTTAAAAGAGGCTTATAATTATTCTAGTAACATTTTACTAATTTATTTAGTATCACCATCCATGGTAAAATAATGATGAAAAATAATAAAATTTCATTCCATTATTAGCCCATACCATAGTATTATATCTCTCCACAAAGAAACTTTCAACAGGGTATTTACTTGTATATATTGTTAAGTGAGGAAAGAATGTTTACATAAAGAACACACACACACACACACGACTGTAACCAAAACAATCTAAGAGCAAAAGCGAGAGATTTATAAGATCTTAACATAAAACTCACATGTCATTACAATGGATCATGGTACAATTCATTTTAGATAACGGACTTAAGTTCACTTTTACAATGAGGAAAATTGCCCTGATTTTACAGTCTTCCTAGGGCTTCTTTCTCTACAGATAATTTATACCTACAAGGCTACAACAACATTTTCACTAACGCTACTAAATGGTTATCCAAAAATTAATAACCATTCTATAGCACTACTACAGTACTACCTGTCATGGAAGTGTATAGTCTGTCAAAGTTGGTAGGCAATGGTCATTGATCTTGTTGGTGCTTCCTAATGTTTTCTCTCCCATTTACCTTCCCGTCTTCCATCCCGTTCTCTTCGTTCCACAATTTGCCTAGACTTACTCCCCCGGGGACCATGCCTTTGAGACGACCCAAAGCCCATGGAAGGTCCCTCAAGTGCTGATACCAAGTCTGCATCTCCAATACTTCCCGTGTCCCCCGAGTCTTTACTACCATCAAAGTTTTCTTCGTAGCTGCTGCCACATTCATCTGATCTGTCGCGTGACTGCAGAATAGTTGGAAGTTGGCCAGAGAATTGCCTAGCCCCTGATAGAACCACAGTAGGCATGGTAACCATTGATGAGCTCGTTGCAGTTTCGGGCTGTGCTATCCCCGTGCTTGTTTTGGTCCCTTCATTACCTGCTCTTCCATTTTCCCTTTCACGGTATCTTTCTCGTGGCCTACTGCATTAGATTGAAAAACACATCAAGAGAGGATTCCTTGGATTTCAAAATTCTGCTGCACTGAACCACTGTATTTATCACTTGTCAAATGCAAAAGTTAATGCAATAGTGCAGCCAGGAACAGCATTCCCTGTCGACTCATAATACTGATTGAGAGACAGGCCAAGTTACTTGCTGCTTGATGTAACAAATTTTTATTTTTTGTTGCTAAGCAACAGACTATTTTACTGCTTGATGTTGCAACCTTTTTGTTGCCAGGAGAAAGCAGAATAGGACAAACACGATTCATTTACTCCCACTGCCACCATTTTGGTGGCTGTGATGTGAGATCTACAATAAACGGCCTCTGAATATACCATGATGTTGAGACCGTGATATCAGTTGCCACAAGCAGAAAATCCAATAAACATGAGGAACAAACACAAGAAAAGAATTACTAGTTCAACTATCAGTCAAATTTAGTGTGTTCATAGTTCATAATACATGAGCCGAGGGTCTATCGGAAACAGCCTCTCTACTCCTCCGGAGTAGGGATAAGGTCAGCATACACACTACCCTCCCCAGACCCCACTTTGGGGATTCCATTGGGTTGTTGTTGTTGTTGTTGTTGTTGAATAGTTCATAATACAAAATTATTTATGCAGAAGATTAGAGAATCCCCCACCCCATCCTGGAACAACAAAGGGACTCTTCCAATCTTACATGACATTAAAAATACATGCTTGATCAATTCACATAGCTAGCGTGCAGTTGCTTTAGTTATTGCCAGTGGACACAGTAGGAATTCTTCTATGTTCGGAAGAAAATTCAATAGCGATGAGCAAGAAAAGCTAGAGGCTACTTCAGTACAAACTCCTTAGTCCGAAGGGACCTTGTTATTTTGTAATGATGCATAATACATAAGGCTAGCTTTTCCTACCAAAAGAAGAAGAAGAAAAAACCTAGAGGAAGAGAACTACTGACTCAACTATTGGAAGATGAAGTATGTTCATTGTCCATAAAAACAAAATTGTTTGCCAGAAGATTAAAGAAACCACATGCTCATATCAGACCAAAGAAGGTAAATCATGTAATCTTATGTGACATCCAAACGACAAGTTTGACCAATTTAGAAAGCCTCAATGTGCATGGCAAGTGCTTCCAACCATTTATGTCTTGACAATTTATCCTTATCCTTAAATCACATAAACTAGACATGAGATGATAAGACAATTCCTATTGTCTACGGCAATAACTAAAGCAAATGTTGCAGTTGAAAATAGAAAAAAGAAGAGGGTGAGAGGCCACTGAAGGGGGGCAGGGTTTGGCAGGAGTCAGACTCAGAGCCAAAGATTAACCTAACATAGTTTGCTCATTCTCATCACAGAAAATTGACGTCAGATGCCAAAAACATAGTTACTATAGTTTATCATGAAACAAAAGTAACAACAGATTTACCTACTGTGTGTGGATGAAAATTCTCGCCTCGATGGTCTAACTCCAGATTCAACTTGCTCAAGTTCTCGTTGCAGTTCCCTCTGCAAGAAGATCAAGTGAAATTGGCATGCAAGACTCCCACTCCATATGAAACTTAAATCAATCTAGCATAATCACTTATGATGAGGATACAAGATTCTCTACAAATACCAGAGGGTGGCTCATGTTAACTTTTAAGATAACACGGAAATTGTTAAATTCAAGTATAACAGTAAGGGTGAAAGGTCCACACACTCTCCGCTGATGGAAATGTGTGATTAGGCTGTTAAGGCTGGATTAAGACAAACAATTCAAAGGAGAAAGCAAGCAGAAACTGAGGCAATGTTTGAAATATTAAAGGAAGAGACAAAGGATAAGCAAGGAGAAAAAACTCGGGGAGAAACTTAAACAAAGTAAAAAACATGTGCAGATTTGGAGTCTGAATTCCCCATGCAAAAAAGAAAGATTTTTTTTCAAAGCTGATATGATGGTGTACTACTGATTTACCTATAAAAAATTGTGTATGATCGCACTATACTCAGAAAAGTCACTCGGCATAGAGGTAAATATCATCGAAGCAAAAAAAACCTAAACATCCACTAGGCATCATTTCCATCAGTCTAGTTTGAAACACTTCGTCAAATCCATCATATAAGCAAGGGATGACAAATAAGCTACAATCATCTTTCTTACCTGTGTTTGTCTTTCCTTCTCTAGGTCAAGGCTGAGTCGCAACTCCCTGGTTTTTGCGCGCTCAAGCTCCAGCACACGTTGTCTCTCAATTTCCTTTTCTACTTCAGCTATCCTCTCTCTGACACAGTAGCATCACATAGACATTTACAATCAACATGCAACCGTCTAATAATGTAAGCAAGAGATTTCAGGGAGTCCCAGGAAAAACCTATCCAGCTCTTGTAGAAGTTCAGCTTCGCGAAGAGTTGCCTCTTCCAAGAATTTTTGACGGGCATGCCTACTGAGTAGCTTCCTTTGTCTGCGTGCTACAACCTCCTCTTTGAGTTTGGCCTTCTCTCTGGTTAGACAAGGAGAAGACCGAAAAAAGATTAGTATGAGTTCAACCTGTTTTTTTTCCTTCAATCAATCAGATCTACTGTCCACGGGTGGGGAAGGGGGTAGGAGATGAAAGGCAAGATGTTTTATTGAAATTTAAATTGCTACATCAGCTCAATTTAGCACAGCTGCATGGATAGAGAGAACTTACCAGAACGAATAAGTAAACAACAAGAAACTACAGTCTAATGTAAAAATAATCTTTTATCTTGCATCAAACTACAGGAGACTACCAACCCCACGCTTTATACAAGTGAATCTCAGACACTGAAAGACAGCTACCGTAAACAAATGTACAAATCTAAACAAGTGTGATAAATTCTCCAACCACTAAAACGGGCAAAAAGGCAACAAAGAGATTCTTTCTTTCTTTCTTTTTTTTTTTTGGGGGGGGGGGGGGGGGGGGGTTGGTGCAAGTTGACTCTCGAAGTGATGGATAAAAAAGATATATTTAGAAATTGTCAGCATGCCTAGACAAATAAGTGACACCCTGAGGTTACAAAGTGACAGTGAAATGTGGGTGTATACAGCACCCATCATAAACTAATGATCAGCTTATGCTGAACACTCATTCAGCCAACAACAACAACAACCCAGTAAAATCCCACTCAGTGGGGTCTGGGGAGGATAAAGTGTACGCAGACCTTACCCCTACCCCGGGGGGGTAGAGAGGCTCACTCAGAAGAAAGAAAAAGAAAAAGAATCTTCAATTAATACAGCCATGAAATACAACTCTGATCTAATTTATATACAGTTCGTAGTTGGTGCATACAAGGATTTGATTTCCTCTTTGATTTGCTGCAAGCGGTTATCTTGCCTTGCCGAATCTGCACAACAGAATTTAGAAAGGTGAATGTCAGAAAATATGGAAGTGCCTCAATTAACAAGAAAACATGCACTGACATGATGGATAGAATTTAGTGTTCCAAAATATTTGACAACATATGCAGAAACTACTAGAAAAAGTATTACCAGTGAGGAAGGGAAGCTGATGCAAATCTTTAAATTCAGCCGATAATTCCTGCATTGCTTTTTCCTTCTGAAGAAGTTCCATTTCAATCTCGGCCTCCTCCAATTCCTTCAAGAATTGAAGCTACAGTCAGTAGAAAACTCAAGTAATCATCCCAAATGTCATAAAGCCATCAAACTCCTACCAGAACCTTTTGGTCACATTCCTTTGAGAAAAAGTCAAAATATGAGTTGACAGCGGACAAATCAGCTATGACCTGAAAAATTAGAAGCAAAAAAATGGATACTCAATACAGCATTCTAAAAGACAATTAAGGGCCAAA